AGTTAAGGTAATTATTGCATTAGTAATCATCAGTTTTAGCAGCCAGCTCAGGCTCTTACAAACCAACTATGCTACGTGCTGAGCTGCGTTTGTGAAGTGAAATTTCATCAGTATTAAATGTCTGGCTGATAGTATCCTCGTTTCTTAAGCAATCCAAGTTTTGTCATTCAAGTGGAGTAGGACATCTTCAATCATTTAGGGAAGCTCTACAATTACAAAGCATGCAAAACAGATGAAGCTACAAAAAACTCTCATGAAAGATTTTTTCCTTAATTAAAAGATAAACATCCTTCTGGAACAAAGAAGCAGCATTTTTAATCAGATTAAAGTGTTTTAAAAGTCTGTCTCAATACCAGTATAGTAACTTTGAATAGATTTCGTTTTTACAAGGATAACTTTGTCCTGAACAAATAACCTAAGAAAAAAAAAACCGGTACATACTGAAGGAATTTTCTCTAACAAATGATACTGGGAAAAATCATTCAGACCTAAATACCTGAAAGACAGCTTTGAAAGTGGTTTGAATTTCAAGATAGCAATCGTTTCATTTTTATTTTCATTTTTCAAAACAACAGCTGTCTAACTTTTGATCCTCAACATTTCCAAAGCCTTACATTTATGGATGAGACATATGCACACATAAGGAGAGTCTTTAGCTACAATCTTTACTTTGACAAAGCCTTGCATCAAGGAGACTTATCTGTGGTCTGGCAGCTATAAAGCGTTCCGTTTCCCCTAACAGATTTCCATCTATCAGCCATGTCAAAGCAACTCATCATATGCAGCCTTCATTGGGCCAAATGCACAACAGAAGACAGAAGATGCAGCGGCTTTCTTTGTAACAAGCAATCCCACTTTACTTCATTGGAAATTTTGTCCATGGAGGAGAAACAGAACTATAGTGCTTTCTGAAAAGTTACTTAATATTATGGATTTGAATTTTAGTTTTTTAAGAACAATTAACTCCTGTGCAAATTCTTTACCATTGATATGAAAGATGATAGCAACATGTTATTAAAAAAAAGCTCTATGCCCAGTACAGAATAACACATTTTTGGATGCAAAAAATGGCAACTAATTGCCATAAATTTATTTTGAAGAACTTAAGAGCTTCTGTGAGCTCACCAAGAAAGCAGATCACACATTTATGCAGCTCCTCTTTTTGATGAGGAGATTTAGATATACGAGAAAAACCTTGCCAGAAAATAATGTCTGATTCTGAATGGTCATTCATGCCTTGGGTGTGTTAGTATCCTTTCAAGCAAAACAGTACAGTGTACAATAGAAACTTTCATATCTAAGCTTTAAAATTTAAAATATAAGCTTTAATACACTGTCACATTCTTGGTTTGTCATATCCCTTCCAAATTCGTTAACCCCAACTAAAATCTTTTAGATGAATTAATGGTTCTGATGCTTGAACTTTGATGTCAGACAATACAAGATGAGATAGTGACCAAGCTGATTTGATCAGTGCATGTCTAAAAAGCCTATGTGAATTAGATGGTCTTGTAATAAATAAGGCAGAAAAATAAAGAGTTTGAAATTAGGGTCCACAAGTACAGTGATCCCATGTCAGGCTTACAGGAACAAAGCCGTAAGGTGAACTACAGACAGAGGTAACAATCTGAAGTCTCCTGCACAAATACTTGCTTCAAACTGCAGGCTCTCTAGAAGCTAGTTCCTCATTCTTGGGTCTCATGCTTCTATGTAGATAATGGTAGCCTTCACATCATGTTTGCACAAGCAGTCATTTCTCTCAATAGAGATTTATCAGTCTTTTCTATAATGCAACCCTAAGTCCACCAAAGGCTCTTCAGAGAGAGGGAGTTGTGAATGATTAAAAAAATTAATTGATGTTCATAGTACATCCTCCTTCCATTACTAATAATCACAGCAGCATGAAGTACGAAGACAAAGCACTTTAAACTGCATTAAAGCAGTCTAACAAGACAAAGCCAAAGATAAACCACAATATTGACCACACAGAGAAAGCCCAAATGCAAACAGTGTATTTCATGAGCAATGGTCCAAAGATTTACACGTTACTAAAGAGAGAAATACAACAAAAAAAAGAATGGATTGAAAAGAACAAAATGATGAGTCTGTTGTGGACTCCCAGGCATCTGCCCCACCATTTGTTGGTGTTTTTTTTTTTGTTTTTTTTTCTATTTTGTGCAGAGAAGATTGAATATCAATTATTCAAGAGTATTTTGTTCAGGTACTACCAAAATCAAGGGCCAGCAGCACTGTCATTTAGACATACTTTTCATATACCCAAAGTCTGACTGACTTTTCAGAAGACAGACGAGAACTTCAGAATTCCCAAACTCCACCAGCAGAACTCAATCATTCCCCTGCTTATCAATTTACCACTTGGAAGCCTACATTTCATTAAGGTGTGGTTTTTAATGATTTCTAAGTCTGTAAAGTCTGTAAATGCCACCAAAGCAGCCCATGCCAAGCACAGCAGTAGGATACACCCAGCAGAGGCAAGCAAAGAGCTGCCTTTGACTTTCCAATAGATACACACAGCATAACTACTGATGAAAAACTGCATGCTATATGTTAACCAGCTGCACCTGCACCACTTTCTGAAGAACAACATTATCTCACATCTCTTGCTTCTTTCAAATCCAACTTGCAATCAAAGATCTGACTCCTCACCTCCTAAGCTCAGAATCTGGGAGGCACCATGGAAGCTATATCCCCACTCTGATGATGGGCTCGAGGGGAGGAGCAGGTAGCTGGCCTTCGGCACACACCCACACTGCAGCACCTGTCAGGATACACAGCCTACTGAGCATCCAACAGCATCCATTTCCAAGGCTTCCAGCAAACAAGAAAAATACAAGATGGACACCTGTGATCAGCAATGAAATTAATCTGGCAACAAGCTACTGATGCTTACAGGCATCCACATGCAAGGCTCTATTAGCTTACACTGCCTTTGCTTCCCAAAAGGCCTTATGAACTCCAGTGGGTGGCTGTTCTGTAAAGCCCCACCCCATACACACACTTGCATTGTATGCTTACTCTTGCACACAACTGCAACTTCTAGTCGCCCTTACAAAATACTACATGTCAACTCAATGGATGAGTTATGAACAGGACCCAGAAATCACCCATTTCTAACAGCTTGATCTGCAAGATTATTCAACACCCTCTGCACTGCAAACATGACTATGTAAGTTAAGAGAGATTTCAGTCCATGGGTTAAGAACATAATCCCACAGAGCTTAAAGGATTGCACGCACATTTGATGCTGTATGTGAGCTCAAGTATTTGAATTAGAGTGTGAAGTTTATTGGCATCCTTAAGATCAAGGTGAATGGGAGTCCATTTAATGAAATGAGTGAGTGAAAAAAAATGTGTCACAAAGACAGAGAATGAAGCAACACAAAAAAACAAAAACTGTAGCTACTTGTAAGTCATAAACACAATGGGATAATGGTATAAACATCAAAGTTACCTTCATATCATATTCAAAATTCGATAGAGACCATTTCTGCAACTGAAAGCTAAAGCCAACACAAGTGTTAAACTACTGCTCTCATGAGAGCCTGAAAGAACAGGCTTTGGTCAGTCATCAACTTGGGAATGGGTAGAAAACATACATCTGATAGATGACAGAGTTCTCTCACTCTCAAACACTGACTGTTCACAGACAGCACATCAGAGCAGTGAGAGACATGTTACATTTCCAAAGGATTTCACGGCTCCCATAATATACCTGAAAGCAGGCAACCCAAGAGTGAGGATTTTACAAAGTTAATTCAGATGCTAAACACCGTTTCAAATCAGACCACGTAACACGATGATAAACTTCAGCATAATTGATGGTGCTGTCCATCATTCTTCATTTACTTTCAAAATGTATGTTCTTTTGCAGAGTGACAGCACAGTTGTCTCTATTTGGAAAACACCATATTTTGAAAGTAATGAACAGAAGAGCACAAAGCATTCATACTGAAGTCATAAAATAGATCAGACTAAGAATACTACTAAAACTGGAAAAATAATCACAATAACCATGCAGTATTTTTTATGACCCCTAACAGCACGTATACTCACGTGCTTTAAGTGCATTTCAGTATATTTGAATAAGACACTTCTCTAGAAATGCTCTAAACAGAAATGCAGCTTACATTTCAAATACAGTTGCTAATGTAATAGTTAAAAATTCAACTGCCAGCACTAAAGTCATTATTTCAATTTAATCTACCAATAAGTTTTTTGAAGATACAAAATATAGTAACAGTTCTTTAAAACTACATGAACTTCAAGCTACTGAAAGCATTTCCATTTCAGAAATGAAAACAGCATTTACTTGCTTAGCCCATATCTTTTTTTTTTTTTTAATCTCAATTCAGTTACACAAAAATTTCCATACAACGATGCTTACCCACCTGTTCATAAAAAAATGAGTCTGCTGATAAATTTGAAAATAAATATTATTATGGATTATTTTCACAGCAGTCACTAAGCCAAGAACTTTGGAAGCAGAATAATTAAAGCATAAGTTTAAAATACCATCTAAAAAGTAGCTCCAAGACATTCCAGACAAGAAGCAAACATTTAAGCTGCAAAAATTGTTAAATAATCACAGAAGATGCTCAGCACCCTTGATTTCAGCTAACTGTAAAATTGCTCAGCTGGTCCTAGGACTAAGCCACTCATGTAAATGAGGTATTTTCGCTTTGAAAGTTATTCATGGCAACTGTTTTTGCTGCCTGACCTAAAAATATCACTCATGTCATATTTCAAACAGGAGATATAAACATCTTCGGGTATTTTGAAACTATGCCTCAACCTGGAAAATTAGAACTACTTTCCTACAAGCCATAATAACTAACAGTTCATTTCTGGAAATAAAACATTAACTTGCCAGTTGAGGAACTCAGAAGAAAGACAACAACCACATACATGTTTCATGTTCAGTAGGAAAGCCCACCCTTTGAGCACGCTGGCCAACGTGTCACTGCAGTGACTACTCTTACCTAGTCCTATTCTGTTGGGACTCGTCTCTCGACTGCATCCCTGGCTCCGGGGGATCTTGCTGCGCTTCTCTGAAGATGATGGCACAGGTTGAACTCTGGATGTTCCACTGCTCAAGCCACCATAGGTGCTTCCTAACAGCTTACCCGGAGAACTAGACCGACTACCAGCTGGAAGAGAACCAGAAACGAGGAATACAAGCAGTTAAAAAAATAAAAAAAGCAAAACCAAAAAACCCGATACCTCCAACACCTTAAATACTGATGGCAAAACTGAAACGATCAGCTCTAGCAGTGTGACCCAAAGCACACACAAAATTAATGGGACAGCTTCCCACGGGCTCTAAGAGGATGACTGAAGAAAGCCCGTGGACAACAAACACTGACATTAGCAATTCTGTACATATGCATGGTGCTACCCAATCAAGATCAAGACCAAAACAGACACTGCAGTGCAGGAATATCCTAAGCTGAATTTCAGTGAGCTTGTGGAGATGCTGGGAGCAGCCTTGCAGCAGCAACATAGGGTCCATAGGCTGCTTTGCCTCAACAAGCAGCAACAAGAATTAGCTCATGTGGAGTGCTGTGCAGCAGATAACCAGCTTTTGGCACAGGTAAGCTGCTGCAAGCCCCATCTTCACATTATGCTACAGTGGTGACATTGTATTCCTACAGTAATTCAGGGAAGAAAAACATTGCCAACAAAAAAAGAATACTGCCTCAACAGCAGCAAACCAGCATGATGAAGGGTAAACCAACTAACCCTGTCACAATTGTAGAGATGCCGGTTTACTTGGGTCTGACTATAGCTAAATAGTTATTTTTCAGCTGGAAAAAGAATATTTAGCAAGTTAAATAGTTGGCTGGGTTTATTTTTCATTGTCAGTTTGAATTGTTCATGGTAAGTTTACATTTTTTCTAAGCCATGATGCCTGGTCCGCTGACCAAGATTTAGTTACAACATTTACATTCCAGTTGCAACAGACATTTGTCCAAAATATTCATGCTGTCAAACTCAATAGGTTGAACAATATAATTATTTTTATCCAGGGAATCTTATTTTTGTAGCATGTTTCTGTTGAAAATCAAGTAATGTTGGCTTCAAGGTAACCAAGGAACTAGAAAACTAATGGATTTAAGACCCTTTTGTTTCTTTAGGTATATAAATTACACAATGAACATTTGCCATTGATATTATCATCCCTAACATACAACATTTTGTTGTTGCTAGAATAGGAAGGAAAATATCTAAAAAAAGGTTGCAAAAATATTCTCTGGCAAGTTCATATTTTGTACAAATACCCAAGTTGCTTGCTTTCTAAAATGTACACATCTCAAATATTTAAGTCCCAAACTCTGTTACGATTAATAAGAGTTAACTAAGAGATAAAGGGCGTTCATAATTTAAAGAAGGTATGCAGTTTTACTCGTCTTATGGACAAAAACATAAAAGCATGTATTATTTTAACTTGCTTGCTCCCCTCCTTTCTTGGATAAAGCCATTTTGAATCAAATTATGTACTCTAATATCCCCCCCAGAAGTGAGAGCAGTTGTGAAAGATGCCAGTTTCTCTCACAACATCCACACCCTGAAAGCCAATGCTCCTACCAGTTACTCTGCTGCATTCATTGATGTCAGTGGAGTCTCACCAAAATAACTGCAATATGAGGAATTATATGCATGAAGTTTAAGCTCCAGGAGCTTCTCTGCAACGCTTATAACAATGAGCCAGCTTTAATATACAATTTATGCTTACTGTGTTTGATTACTTCGAGAAATCTAGGTCATCTGCCATACATATTGGTTTTCTAATTTTAGGAAAATGCTTTTTAAGCCTTGATAACCAGGAGAGAATGAAGGAAGCTAAAAGCTTAGCAGTTAAAAAAACTGAAGGAAATAACATGAGAAAGCAAGAAAGGGAAAATGTTTCTTACCACCAGCAGGATTAGCTGATCTGGATCCTTGATTATGAGGGCAGACCAAAGGACAGGCAAAAAGTGGATTAAAAGACATGAAGACAGTACAGCGTTCAGCATGCAGTTTATGCTATACACAGACAGATATATTCACAAATGTGCCACTCCAAGAGCCCCTGCAGAACGCAGTGAGTTAATGTGCAAATGCAAGTGATTTAATTTCCAAAGGCTTAACAGCTTCTCAGCAATATCAACCCACACTGAGACCCAAGTTCTGCTTAAATCATACCCCAAGCCCATGCTGTAAAACTGAAACAAAGCTACAAATGCATAGGCATACAAGTTTGTTCCTCTGGACATGTTATACATTAATCCATTATTTACTTCATGTAATGCTTGGATTAGGAGATTAAAGATCACATCTAGTTGTGCTAAGCTGGAATCAAGATTCAGCAAAGTAGACCAACAACAGGTACAGATGTGACTATCCTACAGCCTCATAAGTACATTGCATGAAAAAAATTAAACCCATAATGTTTGAACCACTCCACACTTCCTTACATATATCTGAAACTTGTCTCATCTGATCATTTCTCACTAAAGTAAAAAAATATACATATATATTAAGATAATTTATGGCTTTTAATCAAGTTTTAAGTTTCAAATGATAGGAATTAAGATCAGAATACCAAAGCCCCAATTGCTTCATGACTTCAATGTAAAGACTTCCATTCAGCCCCATCCCAGTTATAATGCTTCTCTCTTCAGCCATCCCTGGTGTTATCATAATGCTATAAACTGCTTTCCCATATCTCCAGCATGATAGAGCAAAGCAATGATGGCACAAACAAAGCAGAGCCTGCTTTGAAACAACTTGAGAGGTTCCCTCCCCCCCCCATTCCTTCTGAAGTTTGAATGACAAAATTCTCTTTAGACACATGACAAATATGTAGCAATGTTTGCATGGCTCCTGGGAGAAACCACAGCTTGTAAGGAGGTCAGGGAGCATGGATGCATCATGCGAATAAAGAGAATAGAACCACCTCCCTCATATATACAGAAAATAGGTAGCATTCTATTCTAAACTGATGCTAAAGCACACATTAACTTTAGACAGTTCACATTACACATACAGAAATATTGTAACATAAGCAGGAGAAGCTTGACAGGGCAAGAACCCGGACAGCAATTAGCTACAGACACAGAGGGCATCTCAATGGGACCCAGTACAAGTTTAGTCTAGCATGTCACAAAAGCCTGCAGTTCTGCTGCACAACAGCAACTAAACATTCTGATTTGGTGCCCTTTGTCAGTAAGAGCATACACTGAAAGCTAGCTAAGTGGGGATTCATTACATTATATGTCCAAATATTATTCACCAAAAGTGAGCCCAATTCTCAGCTGATGCTACCATAATTCAAGAGAAATGTAGTATTAATAATTGTTTTTTTCTCCTCCCCCAGAAATAAAACACTTCTTACGCTGGGACTGGGAAACCACTTTAGCCCGGCTGCGGCCTCGGGTATCAGCAGGTGTTGAGGTGACGCTGGTGGCACTGCCAGAGCTCTGCCTCCTTGTACGAATCCGACCTGGAGGAATGCAAAGACAAACTGTTAACAGGTTTCTTCCAAAGGCAACAGCCATTTTCAAAGCACCATCTGTTCTAGGCTCGCAGCGTTGCTATGCACATAACTAACCAGACTCAGAAGGCAAATTTTACAGGGAGACACGATGAAGAACGAGGGGATATACAGTGATGGTCCACACATCCAAAACTCTTTTTGCTTTCAGTAAAGCTATCAGCTGGCTTGATTAAAAAAAAAATAAAAGTGATCTCTAGTGCCTGTGCTTCTGTTCTGCAGTACCTTCTTTCCTAAAGAAGGGTCATAAGAAAATTCAGTTATCTAACCGCGACTCCTATGTAATTACTTTCTGATGAGGCGATCCCCCTTTCGCAGACAGGCACAGCAGCCGCAGCCACAAATTCCATCGCTGGGATTTGCGGACAGCTCGGTGCTTTCCGTCCTGCTCTCCATGTGCACCCAGCACGCACTGCAGTGAGTCTGCCAATGCTGCCCAGCTACGCTTTCATTTCAGCCCTGTTCACAGCTCCCCGCTGTTTACTGATCCCTTGTATTTTTACTGAGATCAGTGTAACTTTACTAGTAATGGTGATTCCCCTTTAACACAATGAACATAGTGGAAAAAACATTCCATGGTCTGCCCTTTATTTAGGCAGAGAATGGATACAAAGTCTCAAAGTGTTCTTGGTCCTTTTTCTGTCCTTTCCTCATGAAAAAGCCACAGTAATTTGAGCTAGAACAGCTTACGAGGTCATCAGTTCACCCCCTTCCTGCAGCAGAGCTGTTCCCCTCAGAATGTTCTTTCCAGTGCTAAGGTTCAATTATCAGTCTCTAGCTAATGGGAAAGAAATGATAATTAAGAGTAACACAAAGAAAGCCTCCACCAGCACTTTCAACAACTCTGCTCTCTGCCAAATCTGAAGCTGTTTCTCAGGACCAACGCCAAGGCTATCCTGCATTCAGAGGATGATTTCAAGTTGCAGGCATAATAATAAAAGGAAAAACACAACAGGTAAGATAACAGTCTTGACAACTGCATCCACCAATTAGATATTTATCTCCCACCCCACGTATCCACCATAAGCAAAGAAACACAAACAAGGAGATATATACCTCCCACCCAAAAACCAGGGAAGATTCACGTGGAGAACAGGGCAATGGCACGCAGCCCCAGGCTGAGCAGAATGGGAGCTCTGTTCTTTTGCCTGAGCTCTCAAAATACTCATAACACAGGCTGCATCTTTCTGATAGACAAAGTGACAAAGAAAACTTTGAGAACAAAATCTAGACTTCTTTTCAGGGGAAAAAAAAAAAGGCATATGTACTTTACAATACACCTCATTTTAAAATCAAACTGGCAGGTTTAAAGAGCTATTCTAAAGCCAGCTAAGATGGACTGAGCCAAGATGAAGCAAGCCAAGAAAGATTATATTCAAATCATTATTTATAAATGTGAAAGTAAAAATGAGTAGCTCAAAACCAGGAAGACACAAACAAACTGGCAGCTGTTGGTGTACAAAGCAAACAAGAAGTTTAACTCAAGCAGTTCAAGGAACCAGTAATGGAATGGACCATCCATCCTTCCACAATGCCAGCAGAAAGCCTGTAACACAAATTGGAATTCAAGACCCAGTAACAGGCAGCACTGGCAAGCACAGTGATGTGCGTGGGCTATGGATGGGTCAGAAGGGACTGATGCTTCCTTCTATGCATAGTCTACTGTTCTCACACTTATCACAATTACCTGGTTTTCCTGCATCCACAAGATCACGGCGGGATTTTTTGTTTTTTTGTTTTGTTTTTTTGTTTGTTTGTTTGTTCGTTTATTGGGGTATTTTTTTGCTTCATTAAGTATTAACTAAGAACAAAAATTGAGACAAAATATAGCGACTGCCCAATCTTTAGGAAATAGAAAACCAAAAATAGTACATAAAGAAAAATCAAGATCTGCTTCTGATGTCAATTTTTTGGACTTCAACAAAAAACTGAACCAAAAACTCAAACTAAATTAACATGCAAATACCAGCAAGATTAGAAAGTACTCAGTCTTATTTTGAAATCCCTAAAGGTCAGCAGAGAGATGCCTACAAGTTCATCAGTTTCTGAAACAATGCTCATGAGCAAGATATTGCTTCATTCTGGGCTAGTAGATTTTGGCTTGAACCCTGATATGACCCAGAATGTGTCAGGGAGAAGATTGGGATAAAAAGTGTCTCTTGAGAAGTTATAAAGTTTCATTAATTTACACTAATCCACCAGACAAAGATGGAGAGGGACGTGGGGTATTTCACAAGGTACCTCATCTCCACACACACATGCACAGTCCGTAAATTAGTCTTACAATATCCAAAACGTACTTTGCTTTTGTAATAATGCAAAATGAATCAGTAACTACCTGAGTGGAAAAATCAAGGTTTTAAGGTTAAGTTTTCCAAGTACAATATACATGTTAAAATGTTCATTTACACAACACAAATGTCTCTATTACATTTCCTTAAGCATTCCATCTGCAAACAAGAGTCTGCATGCGCATCCACATTTGCACATAGGACTGTGTCATTTAATGTGTGTGTGTTTGTGTGTTATGTGCGTGTTTGGTGGCCCTGCTAGGCAGGGGGGTTGGAACTACATGATCCTTGAGGTCCCTTCCAACCCGGGTGATTCTGTGATTCTGTAATCCCTATCATTCTACCGCTGACAAAACATTTCAAGACCAGAAATAACATAGCAAAAGTTCGGCAGACGTTTTGTTGTTGTTGTTGTTTAACGCAAACAAATCCAACTCCTGAACACATCTTTGCTTTCAAAGAGGTTTGTTTCCATACTCAGCTCAAACTGCAGATGCAGCAATTCATATTTCATATATTTTTTTGCTCTTCTTAAAAGAATTACTTTAATCTGAGAGCAACAGCACAGCAAATGAACAGATAAAGTCTGCCCCAACTAGTTTCCAAAAAGCATTAAAGTGCTACCATTTAGAAAAGCCTTTGATCTAAGTTTGACATGCAAAGGTGACACTCTGCTGGTACAGAAAGTATTTTGGAAGACTCCATATATATGTTTTCTGTTAAGAAATCATTTGTAGGCTTTTTGTTTGTTGGCCTTTTTTTGTTTGGTTGGTTTTGTTTTTTGTTTTGTTTTTGTTTTAAGTTACTGCCATTTTTACAACAATTAATGGATCAGAATCAACTTTGAGATGTCTAACACATGCCTAAATCTAGCAGGGTCTTAAAAAAAAAAAAAAAAAAAAGACAACAACAAAGGAACAAGTAAAGTAATTAGTGATTAGGAGCAGCTTCGCTCAGCAGCACTGTTCTGAACCCTCCTGGGTGGATACTACTGCATCACCACCCCATGACTCAGAACAAACACAGGCTTCATGAGATTCATCTTGAGAAGAAACTGCTTTTCTACTACTCCAGAAATCACAGATAGTATATAACAGACCCACAACTAAGTTTAATCAGTTCTGTGCTGTGAATAACAATGGCTACAATCACACAAGTTATAAGCAGAAGCACTGGGATGGTAAGGGTATCCATCATGGATCAGTTCATGCATTCCCTGGGTTTTTTCCTCAACTTGGAAAAAGAGAAAAATCCCAAAAGAGCCCCTGAGACCACCACAGGTGTACATGTGTCATTTGGTGGTGATACAATTGTGAAGAATACACAGTTATTTGATTTGTATGTAAACCTATAAAAGTATATCCTTCTTGCAGTATGCAAGGTACAGGTTCCATACATAGCACAAATCCAACATTACCAGTACATGACCTGACTTCACAGCACAATTTTCCCTGATGCACACCCTACCCTTACATAAACCATCAGTATATGCTATTGCTTGGTTTTGTATAAGATCTTCTGACTGAGCAAAAGCAGCACAGTGCTGCTCTACACCAGTATGCACAGGCAACTCATGCCAGCACTTGCAAAGGGATCAACCAAGAGAAGAGAAAAATCTACTACCTGAGCATTTCACTTTAAGCTACCATGTTCAGTCATATCTTTGAGTTAAACCTTGTTGCTGAGGACAATGAAGAGCTTTAAAGCAGAGAAGAAAACAAGAACAGTCATTTCTTGAAACTGTTATCCAAAGCCTTTGTTAAGGCTCAAGATGCTCAATCTTTTAAAGTCCAAATTATTTGAGAGCAATGATAAATCAGACTATTTTCTTTCTGGAGTGTAATAAATATTATTAGGAATCGTGCCACTGAGTCTGGAAACTGCCAATTGTTAGTTATAAACTTGTCAGTTTGGGGACAGTCTTGAAAAAGTTCCATGACAAAACAAGAGGAGACTTCTCTGAAGTTTCTGTTTAGTCATATACAAAAACAAGGATTTAGAGCACAACTGTAACTTGGATGGCACAAGCTGTAAAACCCCCATCAAGACTGAAAAAGCTTAACTCTTACAGGCTTTCTGCCTACTGAACTCTTCATGACATTCTGGAGACACAAAGGGTCTGGGTTATCAAAACATACCCTGCACGAAGACACAAACTCACAGCACACAGGCAGAAGATCTATCCAGATTAAAGTCGTATACAGATTCATGATATGTTGTCACACAGAAGAGCACTTTTGCAGCATTTGCTAACTGAGGTGACACTACTTAAAACCAAAGAACCAATACTCTCCTCAGCTTGCCAGTGGCACAAGCCACTTTTATCTTGCTCCTCTTTTAAGATGCCTGGCTCAAAACCAAAACACTAAGGAGAACCAAGGGCAGAGCAGATGGGAACTGCCAAGTTTGCACAATGCTGGCTCCCAGCTGAGGGGAAGGTGCAAAACTTCTACACTGCAGCTACAAAAAGCCATGATGGGAGCCAGACTGCAGATTAAACAATGCTGAACAACATGCACATGCACACAAACATACAGAGGAAAAGAAAACAAAGATTTGCTCTTGTAGTAGATACTAGTAACCTGCAACAAAACAGAGGTATACATGCAAAAGGAACTTTTGCTTTCTGTTCAAAGTTCATCTCCTGCCCACACAGCTATTTCCAGAAAAAAGATCACACTTGGATCTGCTAATTTTCATTTCTAAGAATATAAAGTTCTGCCTTCTCTACACTCTGCAAGATCAGGCAAAAGGCCCCTCTCCACACCCTCATCTGAAGGACACAACAAATTGCCATCTGAAGGCTGTTTTTTGCTGTGACAAAGAGAAACAAAGATCACAATGAGTTTCAACCACTGATTAAACTCGTCCAGGGCTCTGGCTGTGGTGTGCCACAATGCTATAATCCTTTGTGATCCCTGCTCCCCTCACCAAAATAGAATCCTACAGCAAAAGAGATGAGATCTCGTATTTAAGGTAACAAAGGCAACAAAAAGCAATTTTTGAAAGTTTATCCCCCTCGAGTCTTCCCCCCCCGCGGGAGTGTGGGGGGGGTTTCTATTACAGATTTTTTTTTTTTTTTTTTTAACCAAACCACATCTGTATCCAGTGCAGTCAAATTGGAGGAAAACAACCCTAATCTAAAAAGTATTTTGCATAATGACAATAGAGCATTTAATAAACTAAAAGTGAGGGCATACCAGAGGACAGCTCCCAGAACAGACCTCCACAAACACCATTACAGTCCAGGAGAGGATCTGTACATTGCATAGGCTATTTCATAAATTTACACAAAACATTCAGTGTTTCTACATTAGGGGAAAAAAAAAAAAAGAATTTTTGAAAACTATGGAGAAGAAAAGAAATGAAAAAGAAAGATCAGCAAATTTAAAAAAAGCTAAGGATTAAAACAGCTTGGAACTTTCATTTAATCTGACACTGACTTCAATACAAGCATTTAGGCCAACTTCATATTCCTCATCACTGAGAGATCATGAAGGATAAAGAACTGTTCATGATTCTGAACCAGTTCACCTTTCAGTCATAAGTTTAAGAGCCAGTTCTGGAGATGGTAGACACTTCTCCCACTACATATTAAATCGATGCATCAGTAATAGGAAGGAAAGAAAATACGTGATAACAGCACAGCGGCACTTCGCAGAACACCACATCCAAATACAAGCACTCATCAAGGATACTGACACAGTCCCATCAAACAGTAATAGATCCCTTGAAAAGAGACTTCTAACAGGAAAAAATTGGTTGGGCTGGGAGGAAGTGTCTTCATTATGTGTAGAAGGCTTTGTTTTCAATCCCTGTCTGCCTCAAAAAAAAAAATTTCCCAGTGATTTTGTTTTGCTTGAGAAGAAGAATAAGCTTCGACAAAAAGCCAGACAGCCAACCAGACTGCAGGCCTTCCCAAACTAGCAGGCTCAGTGTTCTTGAAAGAAAAAACTTTCCTCCAACTGTTTTAGATGTAAGCCATCTCAGTTAACAATAAAGAGAGAGAGCTCAGGTTTAAAGAGGGTGACTAAATGCTCCTTCCCTAGAGATCATTGTTTACTGTCCTCATTTTTCTGCCATGTGATCATCTCATTCAATTCTCTTGCTGCTCAGTCTCTTCCTGAAAGCATTTGGCAGTTGTGACCTGAGCTTTGGATGGAAAAACACAGCAAACCTTTACACAACATGGAGTAAGAAAACACAAGCCCTGCTTTTGTAATCTGTGCTCAGGTCACCATCAACCAAAAGCGCTGCTGTAAATAGGAAGACACACATGCAATTCTGTGATTAGAAATCAGTCATGAAACCAGAATAGTGCCATTAGCAGGGAGCAGCTTGAAGAGAAAGTGAAGAACACCCCATGGCATCAAAATGAGCAGGACAACCATGCAACACTTCATGCAGGTCACCAGTGAACATGGATGAGAATCAGTAACACTTTGAGAACAGATCAGGTAGAGTGGTACGACTGTAGACACATCTCAGTTACATAGAGAGACTGCTTACCCTCAGTTTTAGTAGTAGTACCATCTTTAAGCAAATTAAAAAAAAATAAGGCAAGGATTAATAGGGAAGAATTATTAACATCAACAGAAATGGGCACTATATATTAGCTAGAGAAGTATGGAAAACAAATTAACACAAACAAATGCAAGAAGTTTGAGCAATAAATTAGAGCTTGATGAATCTGTAGAAAAGGTTACAAGTTTTTCTTCCCACATACATCTAATGTTTGTCAAACCCCACTTTCTTTGTTTGCCTCACCATTTCTCTCATGGAGACGCAAAGATAGCAAATATTCCTGCTGGCTCAAAAGGAAACAGACTCCTTTAGGAGCAGCCATGCTTGCATAACATGAACAAACACAGCGCGTTTCCTGGTTTTCTCCTTCAGTGCCTTAAGAGCAACAGTAACACTGTACTCAGTTTCCAGGCTTCAAGGACAAAACCAGCTTTTAGATTTTCTTCCCCACTTTCTGTTCTTCTTTGTGACATAGATCAGTGCAAAAGCATATTTGCCATTGAAGCCAGCACACCGTGCACCTAAAGGGTGGCTGTGTCCTTAAGTTCTGAAAGCACATTCTTAAGCAATCAACTCCACGGATCTGTATTAAGTGCTCACTGCAGTGCATCTAAATCTTGAACTAAATATGAACTAGCAATATAAATCAGAATAAAACATGAACTTCTGAAGCAAATATAACCAATACATTAAAGACACTATAAAGGACTTCAGATATAGAAGAAATATATCTACAAAGGGAATCTATGAAAACCATCCTTCTTTAATCTGAAATAAGATCAAATGCTCAACACTAAGGAAAAACTACATTTCAGCTGACTCAAGGAAGGAATGAAGGCTATCTGCACAGCTAAAATCAAGAACACTGACTTTGACACTCACTAGGCATCCAATTTTTCTCCTTCTTGCAAAGGCAAAAAATCAATAAAAACCTCAAGAATTAGATTACTATGCAATCTGCAGAATTATTTGGTGTTGGTCACTGCCTTGCACTTCCTACTTCAGCAAATTAGCAGCATCATCTCCAGGAGAGAAAGATCAAATGCAAACTTTGCTGTAAGAAACACTGGTGGGTACCTGACAGCGATACACAGTGCTTGAACAAAACAGCACAGTGTGGCTATAATCCAAGAAGAGTCAGCAATATCTTACATCCCAACTGTGTGATGAAATGAGAAGGCCTGCTTTTCTTTGCTTTTGTATCTTTTACAAAATAAGGTAATCAAACTCAAAGATGTACTCCTCAAAGCACCGAACAATCAGTGGAAAACAAGTATCAAGGAAAGGAAGGAAGGAAGGAAGAAGAGAAGGGAAAGAGACAGAAGGAAATGTCAGAAGTAATAAAGCACTAAGCATTTTCCTCAACAGCATCATGGAACCAGAATAAGATCTACTTTTCCCCAGAAAGAAGGCTGAGACTATCAAAACAATTCACAAAAATGGAAAGTTGTTCCAAGACAGTTCCTTCGCAAATTTTTTGCTTAATTCCAAAAAGCAAGAGATCACACATGTACGCCCAAGAACTGTTAGCCATCTCAGAGAAATGCTCTTCCAGTTACAGAGTTTGACATTCAAATCAAGTTACCTAGGCAATTCCTGAGAGAAAGAAAGCTCACTGTGACAGTAGAACATATAGGTTTACCTAGTGATGCATATGAGCCTGGGGGCAGGGCTGCAGCAGAACTGAAGGGGGTGGATGCTCCAGAAGATGTCACTTTTGACTTGGCACTAGCTGCTGCATTCACATCAACGTCACTGCGGGATCGCTGCAGAGATCCTGGTGTTGACACAGATTTTGTACTTACTGTAGATGCTGCAGATGGGAGTGGGAGACCCAGATTAAAGAGATTAATTTTTTGAGCTGTGTGCTTCAAAGAGCACAGCAAGCAGTTTAACGTACTATTTTTAACTCTCTCTAATTGCACTGAAATACTTAAAGAATGTCTTATCAGGGTAATGTGGGTTTCCCCACAGTGACTGAAAAGACATTTCAAGAACTTCATCAGACACTAAACCTAAATGACAAGAAAAGGCCACCAGGCCAGCATTACAACAAAACTCAGGCAGAGTACCCATCACCAGCTTGTGAGCTGCCATCTAGAAAAGACTCACAAAGGTCCTTCAACCTTTATACACTGCTGGAAGTACCTTCCTTCTCAAAGCATCTTCTCATGAGGATCACTGTTCCCCCTATTCCATGTTATTTACCCTCTCAAGCAAAAAATTTGCCTATTCTGCTGCAAGCATGCATGCATTTGTGGGCACAATGAAGTAGGCGCCACACAAAATTCTCCTTGGATCCAAGGTGTCAGCAAAGTACGCTGACAGGGGCAGAAGGTGTCTCTGTTATGCTCTGTATTCAGATGTACTACTTAGGTTATTATATGCATATGCTTAAGACAGGAAGGTTGTCTGTACTTGTCAACAGGAAAATACAGAAGCATACAGGCTTGGGTTGGGTGTATGAACGAAGAAAACAAACATGCCTATTGAATAAGGAAACATTTTTTTCTTATGTATTCCCTTGTTGCTGCACTTATAAAGCAAAATCAGCAACTCTTGGTCACACCCAAATATTCTACTGGTAAAAATAGATTAATCAGAAGATGGAATTTAACACTGTAGGAATTCTGTGCATACAGTGCCTCCAATGAGTGCTGAAACCATAGAAAACAAGTGAGAGAAAAGTGTAAGGGTGAATGCTAGGTAGACTACTTAGCTGCATGTACTAGCATCAGTAGGAGTCAATTCCAGCTATTTCACCCCTAAACTTACCTTAGCTACAATTTTTAAAGCATTTTAGCCTTCCTTCAGGTGCAAGCAGCAACAAAATACAAGCTTTTAAAGGCATCACTGCATCAGAAGCCAGTGTACAAAAATGGGTGTACAACCCAGAGCTGATTAAAAACTACATAATAAGGTGCCATTTTTAAGGAGTAGTTAACAGAAAAGTTGTCCTTTGCACACTATAGTACACAAAATACTCATTTTACTTCTTCACAATTCCTCAGCAACATCTCACCGCATTTTCAGCTCCTATTCTCACCTCTTGATGTAGTACTTCCAGTAGGACTTCTTTTGGCAGACAGTGGACGGCTGGAAGTTAATATAAGTATTTATTAAAACAAAACTGATATATCACAGTCAGCAGTAACAGTGCTTCTCTGTTCCCTCAGTACATAACTGAGTTAACAGGAAGTTATTTATATTCAGGAATAGACTAACAAAGCTTACTTTTTAAAAATATAAATACAGCATCGTTATGAAATTCTCTGTGAAAGAACTAAGGACTTATGTATGTTAATTGGGAAGTGATCATTAAGAACAGGCTGTAGGTTTAAAAGGTTGTATCAACATCATGGGTATTTTTCAGGTATCTTCAGTTGCAGATATTTGCAGCCGAAGTTGATCATCTCTTTAAGAGAAGCAAGAATACATACATGTATCAGAATAATGCATTTTATTTTAATATAATATAAGCTAGATCTTAGTATAATCTAGTGTTGAGGCCACCGATAACCAGACGAGATAAGCAAAGCACAGAGTACCCAAAGCAGCTCCTGTGAATTTGAGGAAGCAGTCACGTTATCTCTGCAGTTGTTTAAACCAAGAGAGAAGTAACGATGCCCAGTGACTTACTTGAGACTCTCCTGGGAGCTGGAGGAGGAGCGATCCGACTGTGGCAAGGACACAATGCTGTCAGAGTTCTTCAAATGCGACTGCAGGGCCTTCTGGTAGGAGGACTCCAAGGTGTGGTACAAATGGTCTGCCTCTCTGCTGAAGTGACTGTGGAAACCCCAGTAACACCTGGGAACAAGGCACGATGCTGTTAATATTTCCTTGTCACATTTTAAAGGTCAGTGAAGCACAGGTACAGTCAGAGCCTTTTTCACTAATGGCTGCTTAGTGGGCTGCTTAGTCCAGACATTTCAATCATCCACAGCCTCCATGCACTTAAGGCATACCACTGAGTAACAAGATTGCAAGAATGACAGCCTCACAGAAGACAAACAAAAATAACAAAAAGGGGAACTTACCACCTGGGGCTCTGTACAACATAAATTACCAAAAAAGCTTTGTCACAAAGGAAATTCTCATATCCCTCCAGCTGTCTACCATACATAAGTGACAGACCGAGACTAGAACCATAACCAGAATGAAGTTAGCATAGGACTAGCTGATCAACAGACAGTTCAAAAACAAGCCAAAAGCAGAATACACATGCATGGGTCTGATTCAGGAAATCACCAGCAGGTGCTTTCTTCCTCAAGTTTAACAAATAGCTCTCATGCATCGCTGCAGAGAGAAATCTTTTGTAGAGTTAAGGCTGCTGACTATCTTTTGGGAAAATTAAAGAATAAGATGCTTCAATACACTTCCAATCAGTACCATACTGAAAGTAAAAGAGCATTTAAAGTAGGAATTCCTCTCCGGTCCTCATCTCCTGACTGATGCTAAAACACCATTCATTCTCATCACAAAGGAGATGAAGTCTCTCAGCACTTTTCAGGGGCCAACTAAGGGGCAGTTTGAGAGCAAGACCATTAGCTCAAATGAATTAAGAATTGTTTGTATGAGACAGTTCTCAGAGAAGTCACATGCGTTCTCACAGCAGTAAAAGGAAACAAATTTCTGTCTTACACACAGTAATGCTTAATTAAGAAACATGGAAAAAGAGAATTAAGTTTGTTTTCTAAGGTTTTATTCCATTTTCCTTGCTGCCTTTTCAGCTTAACTAGTCACCCGCTGTGAAACCTCAGTGGATGCTGTATTTTTCCAGTAATGCAAACTTTCCCTTTCAAAAGGATTTAAACAGTCCTGCTGTAAAACACCTCTGCTTACAATATAGCATTTAGATTAACAAAATATATTGTTTAGTGATCTCTTATTTAACAGCATCCTCTTTCTGAAGAAAGATGTCCCTGCTGTCTTCTGAACAGAAGATCACGATCCCAGCATAAGAGCACACTATCCTAAATACAGACATTGTAACAAATGCAAGGGATCTTCAACAGAAAAAAAACTATACATTCTCTGTACACACAAAGATATTGTTTCACTGTCAAAAATAATTCCTCTACTTAGATAATATTTAGCAGCATACCAGCATAGAGACTTTTATTTCAAGAATAACAAATACCACAGTATTGTACGTAGGTAAAAAGAAAAAACAACAGAATAGCTTTTTTGCAAACACTTCATACGACATCTTCTACTACCTATTCCCTTTGAAAGGGAAGAAGCGCTAGCCTCAGTTGCCAGAACATTACTTGTCTTTCAGAGTCTCCAACATGTAATACCATAACTCACAACATAAAGAAAAGGAAGAAGAAAAGGCAACAATAGCTTCTACTTACTTTCTTGCTTCTATCCTGGCTTCAGAGTCTGCATCATGAATTCCCTTCTTTATTGTTTCAGCTAACACTGATATGTGTCTGAAATAAGAAAGATACATGGTCCAGCAATCCAGACCAGCACACTACCTTTACAAACAACTAACTTGGCTTTCCATAGTGTCCCTGAACAGAGTTCTTCCCATTTCCACTCCATGCATTTTGTAGCTCCTACTCTTCTAAGTCAGTTTAATTTCATTCACACTGCTGAGTAGAAAAAGGCAAGCAGCATTCTTCATTGGTCCATCTTTAGTCAGGTAGTTGAAGCTGCCTGGGTCTGAAAATACTTTTCTCAACCCTTATGAAGTCTTGGTCAGCCAAGGGCTAAAGAAATTGGGTCCCAATAGGTATCCCACAATTTCTTCTACTGTTCATTAGTCTGAACTACTTTACAAGCCTCAGATGCTCGGGTTAGATGTATAGCAGCCATCACCTCATCTTCTCACTTTAAGGTGCAAAAGGAAAAAAGATTTATCAAGTTCAGAGACTCGTTCAGACAGGTTTTCTAGGGCTGGCATAAGAAACAGACTCGCTGAACTCTGGCTGCCAGAACTACATGGATGAATTGCAAACATGCACACACACAGATGCTTTCCTTGCCACAAATATATTTATTACTAGAACTATGTGAATCTCACCTCTAAGACTATTCTTTCTACAGACCTCACCTCTCAGACATTAATAGGCTAGAATTAACTTCTCTCTTTTCAGAGCTTACCTTTCTAGGGAGTGGGTTTGCCACTCTTGCAGCAGCAGGTCTAAAAATTCAAAACAGCGCCTGAGAAGAAACAGGAGAAATGTTGAGTTCTCAAAGTGAAGAGGCACACTGACTTCATCATACCTGCCTCTGCACAGTAGTCACCTTTTGTTACGATGGTTCTCAGGACATTATAATTCAAGAAGAGCCACAACAGAAACATCAAGAACTCTACAAATACTGTCAATAAAAACTGCAAAGTAACTGGATTCATCTCTCTAGAGGGTCTCAACAGAGAGATGTAAAACAAACCAAAAGGCACCCTTAGATACTGGCTAAGAGACAAATTAGAACCACCCTGTACTCACAAGAGTTCAAGCTTCACAAGGAAACTCTGCATCTTGCTTCTTTTCAGCTTCGCTCTTCATCATTTACAGAAAGGAAGGCATTTGTATGATGTGATTTTTTTCAAGTTTTCTCACAAAATTCATCAACTACAAAGACCTTTTCATTTAACTAGAGAAAAAAAGAATCAATCTGTACGGCACAAGCAAGAGTCTCCCAGCGAGGCTGGCAGAGTGTACCACACCTTGATTTTAAATGTAGAGGGAGCTTGTATTCCCCAGCAATACCACAGAGCAGCATCTCTGCTGACAGGCTCAAAGAAAATACATCACTGCAAAGATTAGTAGTGGGGAACTAAAGTATGTCTGTGGAAAAAAATAATTTTAAAAGCTAATGTGACACTGTAGGTAAGCAGAGAGATTAAAGAACATGCTTCTTTCAGAGAAACTGCCTTTTTCTCTCAGTGATGCTGCATCTTATGTATAATAGCTGATTTTGAATTTGTTCCCAGCTCACTGGGGAGAATAAGACGAATTCTCTGGAGCAATGTCTGTAACAGCTCTTTCCACAAATCAAAACAAGTATGATTTTTATCTAAAGTATACACGATTCTATTTACTGGTAAACTACAGCAGAACTTCAAACTAAATGCTCACCTTCTAACCGCAACAGACTTGGAGGTACAATTGCTGGTTATGATGGGTATTAGTCGGGGGATGTGTGTATGCTGGAACAAAAGAAAGAACAAAAACAGGAAGAAAACTTTACAGTTCTGTGGAATGAAAAGTAATTTGCAATAGACACCTGAGCTCTGTATGCTTTTTTTAAAAATCGAACTGCTAAATAAGGAAACACTTCTGAATGTAGACAGATTCTTCAATATATACATTTTAACAGTAAAAATACTTTTAACAGATTTTATTTTTTCTTCTGCCAAAGAGCTGGAGTCATTTCAAGAGGATCTGAACAGTCAGTGTTTACAGCTTAAGAGTTGTCAGGCTATCGCAGGTTCCCTAGCAGAAGCCACCTCTGCAACCTAACTGTTTTAGGCAACATATTCTATTTCTGAGGAGTTTTATAGCATACTAAGTCTGTATTGCAAGTCAAGATTTAAAGCCAATTAAAAAAATTTGCTCATCTCTGAGGGATAGAAATGCCTCACTCTATAAAGAAACATTTTTCTTATCACTTCTGCCACTTTTTCCTGCTATGTAAGAATGGCTTATTTATCATCATCTACCTACACAAGGCTTTACTACAACTGGAGACAGACAAGCCTAGCTCAATCAGAAGAGTAGATTTGACATTTAATCAAACTTTCATGGCACTAACATCCATATTTTCTCAGAAACATCATAGCATTTGGAAACAATGAGATGTTGTTCTCTTTTGACTGATACTTACTCGAATGATTAATCTAACTGCTACAACACCAGAAGTGGCCATGACTTTGGCACTATTTGGAATTAGATTAAAAATTGTTGGCATAATGGCTTCTGCCCCATGATCAAACTTGTTTCCCAGAACTGATGATAAATGTCTGTAAAACACAATGAAGTCATACTGTTAAGAGTGTTGAGGATTAAGCAAGTCAGATTTCTACAGAACATAACATCAGCACATATAATATCTCACTCTTCACAACTGTCACCTCCTCTCCAACTCTAAAGGACAGAGCAATTTGTTTTTGAAATAGTTCCTTTCATTTCAAGTTCATGTTCTTTGTTGAACTGAACTGTGAGAAATATTTACTAACAAACAAGTGTGACAGTAATAATAGAACTATTTTTCCAGACTTGTTAGTTTCTTTGAAGTGATCAGTTTTGCATTTATATGCATGAATTTCCACAAAAAATACTGTTAGAAGCACTACAGGCTTTTTCTTAAATCATTTCATTAAGAATAAAAAAATCAAAAATATAGCTCAGTCTGAACTAGAACAAAACACATTTTTGCATCTCTCAATCACTAACGTTTAAAACTCAACAATATGGGTTTTTTCAACTACATGAACATGGTTTTAAATAGCCATAGCAAAATTTCAATCTATTAGTTAATTCTTGTGTCTTCTATCCATCATCTGTTCCATGTTCCTACAACCCATTTCAAGCATATTTGGAAAGTAAACTTACCCCAGTGTGATACAAGCTTCCCGCACTACCTGAGATCGCAGGTCTTTAGCAGATAATTTAAATGCTCCATCCAGGAGCCGTAAGTGTTGGAAGAAGTTATCATATTCTGCAGCTCCAGCCAACAGCAAGGAGCGGATCTTTTTCAACTGTTGGCATGACAAAACAAAGCAGTGACTGTTAATCAGCAATGTACAGAAGGACAGTTAGGTTCAGAGCTCGTGTGTTGCTCCCAGGGTCTCTGTACAACCCACTTCTTAAAGAATACCAAGCAATTTTATTTCAGACCTTACATACACAGGTTAACATACTAAGAATACAAAGTAATATAAACACAGTAGCTGATACAGCAATCCACAAGTATTACATATGGCTTCTACAACTGTATTGTTAATGACCCAAACATTACTTCTTAAGCCAACAGTTGTCAAAGGTTCATTTTTATTCCTCTTAGTATCTACCTACTTACAATAGTTTCTAAAAGCACAGAACCTCACATAGCCAGCTAGCATCTTCGAAAGATGGGTTAACTCAAAACGCTTGACTTACACTCAGATCTGAGTTGTACTGACTTATATCTAGAATTTGTTCACTGACTTCATTAAAGTAAATAATTATATGGGCCTATTAGAAGTGCAACCCTGACCTTACTAAAGCAGCATATTTTCTAGTGATAATGGGACCACAATTTCTTCATAAAGAGTTCATTCTGGATATCTCCATGTGATCTCATGAATACAGTCCCTCTATTCAAGCTTACTACTCTCACTATAGCAAAGAAAAATGAAGCTGAATCAGCACAAGCTGATGCTTTCCTGTAATAGATGACTCGACAGACATGTCATAGCTGCTGTACCAGTGATCAAAGTCTACCATATAGAAAAGTGTATGCATCTATTTGTATTATGCAAATGCTCATCTCAGAAAACAGTACAATCCTGGTATGCATACAACACTCACTTTCCCACTAATGCATTTCCTACATTTATAACCATTTATTCAAAATTTGTTTAAATTTTCTGAATTGTTTGCTTTTATTTCCATTTTGCAAAAGTATAAGTGAGCTGTCTACAGGCAAAATGACTTTCTGCCTCAACAGGAGGTTTTAAGAGATTCTGGATATCATTTTTGATATTTCCATCACACCATTTCAGCATCTGTTAGCAAATTCTAGCTTTACATCTAGATTGTCTGCATGACTTCCAGTTCAACCTGATGTTGGCTTACCAGATGCCTTTATATTAAAAATAGCATCTTCATCCAGAGACATGGTTTAAACTCAGTCTCATAAGGAAATGTTTCCCCTAAGCTTGGGGAAATACAACAAATGTTCACCACTTAAACTGCAATTCAGTCTTAATCTGAGATTCTCTAAGCAAATTCTTTCATAGGATAAGCTCAGTGAAGGAAAACCTTATATTAATAGAGTTCATGACAAAGTTAACTACTTACAGCAGATACTCTCTGTTCCCAGTCATGTTTATCATCAGATAGTATCTCTCTTATTTTGTTTATGGATTCCTCAAGATCCCGGCTAGAATAAATCTGTAAATTTAAACAGAGTAGAATCGTAACATGGGATTTGCATAATGCAAAATATTTACAGAAATCTCCTTCAAAAATTATAACATGATCAGAGAATAACTAAAGGATTGTCATCTACTCTTTTACTACAGTTTCAGAATTTTAAGCAGTATTTCTGTACTGCATACAGCCAAAAAAGTTAATGAGAAAAGTTAAAGTCAAATATATAACTGGCATCTACAATAAAACAGTCAGTAAAATGCTAAAATTCCTGCTTTATGGAAGAGATAACTGGATATGCTTTATGGAGCTAGTCAACAATCACTGTGCATAACCAGGGAAAACTCATTCCCACACAGAAATGAGACCTTAATCTAAACTGGTTATTAAAACTACAGGTACTAAAAACGTGTATACAATTAAACAGACACACTGTATTGGAACACAGAAGAAAGCTGTCAAAAGAACAAAGCCAGTCAGTTTGAAAGCAGTTTCACTGAAAATACACAAGTGTATCAAAAGAGTAAGGCTAACTAAGTCACCATCCTACCCTTCAGCCCAGGTTAGGTTCAAGGGTGAGCTGGTAAAAATCATGAGCACACTCGTGTGGTTTTCTTGCCCCAGCAGGTAAACTGTGAAGGAGGAGAGGTGATGCACCCCACACACCAGCTACCTGACTAAACCTGCCACCAAGCATGCACTATTCCATCATAGCACTCAAAACAGCAGAGATCCTGGAGGCACAAATCACCTCCATTGCTTTCAGTTTCCATATAAAACAAATGAAACAGAGAGGCTCCTGGGGACTGGAACAGTGCTGTATGATCACACAAAACATCAACAGGCCCCATCCAGTGCCAGCTCCAGTATCTTCTCCTATGATGCCTCTATCACAAACCTCCTGGCTCCCTTCCCTCCGCTTCTGAGCACTTTACACCAATCTAATGGCATCTACCACCATTTTAAAGTTCAACCCCTACATCCTTCAACCTACCTTTCCCTTAAGGAAGACTCACCAGCATTCAAGCAAAGGGAGATCTATCAGCGATAAGAACTGGACTCTACACCTATCTTTTGCTGTTCTGTGTTATGTACTTTAGCTTATAATTCTACTTACTTGAACTGTTGGGACATCTTCAAATGCCTTAATGAAGTCTTCTTCATCCACAGCACCTGCTCCCTCTTTGCCTGCTGACAAACAACAAAAAAGTCTTTTCGATGTTCTTATCAAGAGAATCAATTAAGAAACCACCAGCTATCTATCAAGGCACCTAATCAGGAGAAAGTTCACTATCCACACACAACCTCAGAGTACTGCAAATGTAATAAAAACAGAGGCAGGAAAATTCAGTGCCAGGCACGAACTGCACATTTGTAGCATCCTTCAGCTCCAAGGCACAGAGGGCATACTACTAGTCATTACAGTAGTCACTCAACAGTTAGGGGCATAGTCTGAAAGATGAAAGGGAATATTTACTTTCATTACATGGGAGATTTTATTTTAAAGGATTTAATCCTATCTATAATAGATGAAGGTGCAGATCTTCTGACACCTGCACAAGCAGACAAACGATAAGGAAGATAAACAGTCTCTGGAATATTAATCACATTAGAAACCATGAAAGACAACTTCCTCCATTTCTCTAGATCTTTTGTAATGACATTTAGAATTGATCACATTGCAAATTATCACTCCCTTCTTCTCTTTCACCTTCACTGCTAGCAATGCCTGAAGGTCTTAAAGTCAACATGTTTTAGCCCTTAAGTTTTATCACGTAGCTGTAAGCTGCCTGCATCAGTACAGCTGAAGACTAACAGCCATAAAAACAAAAATTCAAGTTATGCATCACTGACACGTTTCACCCAAAGCTCTCACTGCACAACGACACAGTTCCAACCTTACACAAAGGCAGTGTATGCTAGAGGGATGTGAATAGTGTTTGCAGACTCACGTACATTTTACAGACTCACTTGCATTCAGGCAAACATACAAGTAACAATCTCACATGGGAAACAACTGCTTCTGGGTACCGGGAAAATGATATGGCCTGAAAATCCTGGAAAGAAGCTCAAACATGAACACTACAAATATTCCATGTAATCAGCTTACTTGAGGACTTGGATCCCAGAGCTGCAGACCCAAGTCTGCGAGTAGTCCCCATTCCAACTCTACGTGAGTTTGCAGGGGCCTTTGATGATGTAGAGGAGTTAGCTGAGGAAGGTCTGTTCCCATCCACAGAGTCTTCATCATCAAAATTTTTATCTGCCAAAAAAAGAAAAAGCATAGTCAACCATATCAGGGATTTCTAAAGGAACATGCCAATGTGATGGCAAACACACTGCCTGGCCTGCTGAAACACAAGCTGGATCTGCTCTGCCAGTTTCCTTCTAAGCAGCTTCTTTATGATGCCAATCCAGTTATTCAGGAATGACCACCAGCCAATGAGACCATTTCTACACTACTGCAGCCACTACTTTATAAACCTTTCAATGACTGTGTTCTGACAGAAGAAACCACAAAACAACAACAAAAAGATAAAACCAGAGCTAATACTTGAGCTGCCTACAGTCTATATCTCCAATTTACGTATTTGTTGCATGTAGTTTAACATGAGCTGTACTGTAAAAAAAAAAAAAAAAAAAAAAACAATAGACACGAGGAAATCCATGCATGGAAAAAGATCAGGAAGAGCCAGCTGCCCTTTCACACCATGCTAACTGCCTGCACAACATCAAGAACAAACAACAGACTAATCCAGGAAAGATCACATGGCAACACCTATGCTGCTGATAAGCCACAGAGGTTTCCCTTTGGGACCATTAATCACAGACCCAACCTAAAGCTGTACATCCATTCTATGTTTTTAAGTTATCAGCAAAGCTTCCCTGCAACAAAGCAAGGAAACAGCAAACGATTATCTAAAATTAAAAAAAAAATAAATTAAGGTGAACTGAAACACGTAGAATCCTTTGTATCCATCCAAAGGCCCTACTTCCAAACAGGACATAAATTAACTTCAAATGAATTACAGTCACTTTGATTTTCAGTGAAGGTCAATTCAATTCCAAAAGAGTGCTTATATTGCAGTTCTATACAAACTAGCTAATCCACTTTAAAAAATGGCCTTAGGTTGAGAGGTGACAAAACATTTGAACAGCTGATATAGATGAAGTGCATAATTTATTCAGTGTAGAAAAAGCCCCTCAGTCCCTCATCATGTAGCTTTTCCACACTAACATTTAATTCGGGATTTGAGATATGATCCATGCCCATCTCAACCCAGTGATTCATGGTATGGCCCAATCTCACTGTTTCCTTTGAGAAATTTCACTCAACAAACACCACAAGCAGGAGCTTTAATCCATCCCTACTCAGGAAAGCACCTGGGAGCATCAGGTAACCAATACAGGCTCCTATTGGACACTAATGACTAAAACTCAATACACGTTGAGCTTCTTGTAAGAAAAACTGGTAACAATAAAGACACATTCTAGTCAAGTAAAAAAAAAAAAAAAAAAAAGAGAGAGAGAAAAAAAAAACTGTATTGTTTTTCCCCTTACTTCCCCCCCCCCCCAAAAAAGGCTCATAACAGCTACATAGAGCTGTCACAGTTTATCTGAAAATCTAAAAACTACATCTGCAACCTGTACATTTCTGCAGGATGGCACACTCCAATCACAGCACTGAAACAATACCAAGACAGCATCCAGGAAGTTAAGGAAGGTGGCCAAAGATGCTTTCCCATTAATTTTAACATTCAAAAAGCCTTGGATTATGGCAAAGGAAAAAAAGAGTAACTCGTAAAGGAAAGCAGGGGCAGTAACAGGTATTTCAGTTGCTGCTCAGGCAGAAGTGAACAATACAAAAATGAACACAGAAACTTTATGATTAAGAAATTTAAGGTCACAGCAAGAAATTCGAGGTCAACTTAAGAAGAAGAGCAACCATTACATTTAGGACATGGGATCCATCACACAGTGCCCTAAGGCAGCCATGGAGACTGTACTACTTCCCATTGACACTTGCTGGTTTGTTCTGACATACATAATTGAAAATATGACATTCTTAAAAAGAGCTCAGAGAAAAGCCATGAGAATGACTGGAAAATACATTTTTAATCTCCTGCAATGAACTTCCACTTAATTTGCTTACCCTGGTCAGATGCTTAGCAAGTTGCTTGACTGTATTTGTTAACACAGCAGCTGAAGACTGCATGTAGCTTTCCGATGTGATTTATTAGTGTTGTTTCTCCATCTAGTAGAAAAGGCGCCTTACTTGGCAAGTTCCACTACAGGAGTATATTAAAAACACTGAATTCTGTAGGTTGTTTTTTCTTTTGCTTTCTTTGCTGTTTGTTTTTTCTTTGTTTGTTTTATTTTTCGTTTCCCCTGAAAGATACAGCCTAGTTCAAACAGGAATTTTACTTCAAAAACGTTATTGGTCAGAGTTGCACAGAATGTCACGGTAGATGAAAATAAGACTCTGAAATGTGTGATCTCTGAAGCCTACAGAAAGGGGTTTAAGGGAGGATGATAAACTCATACAGACCTTGAATACACCCAGGCCAAATTCATCCAATTTACATTTATTTCAAATGCTTACATTTAGATATTAAGCAAATATTATTTATAATATATATTACCAGCCAAGAGAAAGTCAGTCATTCTCGGAAAGTACTTCATTACTTCAAAACCACTTTTATCTGGTAATGCAATTCCCCATCAGTTGCATTACAGGCTATCTAAACACTATTATTTAACTTACTTCCTCTTCTACCCGTACTCTTAAAACCCCTCCAAAAGGGAGTGAGGGTGTGGTTTGCTATTTTATAAAACATGCAAATTCAGAAAAACATTATAAAGATTGCACTCCTGTAGTTTATTTAATTGCTAAAATGCTATGTAAAACAGGCTTCTCTGAGCATTAGCTATAATCAACACACACAAAAAAGAAATACAAAAAACAACCAGCCCACAGTTTTGGAGACGTTTAGGTTACAATCCCATCTCTTGTTCATTTAGCCTACAAAAATATATATATAGTTGTCAGAATAGTTCAACAGCCAAACAGCATTTTCTAATCTGAACAGTGAAGAGTAACAGAGCCACATTCAGAACTGCACACTAAGTCTTCCAGCAGCACGTGTGCAGGACAGAAAGAGAAACAAAGAACAGAAAGAAACCTGAACACGAGATCAGAAAATAAGAGAAAAATAAACAATTATGCATTACCATGAAAAAGCCTTCTCCCCCCTTCATTGACAGGGATCACAGCAATCATTTCAACTAAGATCGTTGTGGGGTTTTTTTTGTTTTGTTTTTTGGTTTTTTGGTTTTTTTTCAGTCCATCTGCAAACCACGAGGTACCAAATTCAGCATGGGTGTAACTCATCATGCTGTCAGAGGTGCACCAAAGCAGAATGTGTACCAGGCTGTAACATTAATATTTTCCCACCTTACGAACCCCCCGGCGCTCATGTAGTGGGGACACAGCGCTCTCCGCCACAGCCGTGCCCTGATAAAAGAGACCTTTGTCTGCTCACCACTCCGCTGTCTCAGGGAAACAACACAACTGGCTTTAAATTTTTCAACTCCTTTACATTATTTAAGAAGAAAAGAAATGCTTACAAGTACATATCCTTCTGCAAATAAGCTTCCTCAACATTCCTTCATATTTTCCATAGCGTGCCCAGATGTAAGAGTGCTTCGCAGAGAGCCGCGGCTTTCAGTCCAGAGCATAATCAATCACTGCCCCCCGTATTCATTAAGCATGCTGTCTTCGCACATGGATTTAAACAGCTACGGCCTCAGTCCTCTCTAGCAGCTCTGTGGGATTCTCAGGAACATCCATTTCAGCCTGGGAACTGCAGTGCACTTGAGGAAGGGAGCAAGGGGAATGAGCAGCACACGCTGCAGCTGAGCTGCTCTGCCCGGCTGGGCTGGCTTGCACCAGGATCCAGCCTGGCTTTATCCCCTGGGAAGCGCTAACAGGAGCATCTCAACAGCTGTCATCATTTGGCCATGACGAATAAATTTAGTCATTATTCATTTTAGAATGTAACCCCTTCATGGCCTGGCCAAGGTGTAAAACAGGGCAAAGAGAGCATCAGTTGGTCAGGAACTGCAGCAGATAAGGACCAGAGCTTTCTCTGCCTGAACCATCAGCTGGGACCTTTTAAAGCCAAGTGTCTGGGGTTCAGACTCCCCCCTTGATGAAGTGAGATGCTTTCTGGCTTTTAAAATAGAAATCACCTCTGTCCATACTGAAGATGCCCTGCCACAGCCTGCAGGCCTGACCACAAGGCACCACACCTGTCCTCGCCCCACTGCACTCATTTACCACATGCCCCAAATCCAAGCCTTGGTGCAGAAGAAGAGGGCTGGCAACTTTTACACATCTCCTTTGACAGCACATCTCCCTTCTCTCTTCACTTGTACATGAAATGTAAGCAGCTAAATCTTTATGTTGGCATCTAAGTGGAGTGGGCCTGGAGAAGCGCTGTGTGCTCTGCTCTGGAGGTTTTCCACTTGGTTCTCAGCTCCTGACAGCAAGCTCAAAGGAGAACATTGATTTTTAATCAGAAAATATTATCGAACAGCATGCAAAACAGTAACTGTAAAAAAATCAAAACTCAGACATTTGCACCTGTAAATCACTCATTTGAAGACAGCTGTCAGCTGGCTGTACAAAAGCATTGCCACTCAGCACTCTGGTACCTCCTGCGAACAGAAATCAGCCATCACATCTTACCACAACTGCTGGTCTCTGACAGCAGCCTCCCTCTGAGGTTCAGGTGAAGGCCAGCCCTGGCTGAGCCCTCCTTCCTTCCCTCCCTCACACACAGGGATAGCACTACTTGCTGATGCTGAAGCACTTCATTCCATGCTCAAGCTCTGCTAGCAGTTAAAGCTCAACTTTCTGAAGACCCAAGGGCCCTCTCTGAATTCAGAGGACACAGAATGCAAAGCCACCAAAGGCTATACAGTATGCTTCCAAGTCCCTCCTTACTCCTCCTCCCAACCAACAAAACCCAACCTGCATTTAGCCAATGTTTTTCAAGCAGCTTCCTTGGGCAACTCAGCCTCATCCTCATGTTCACAATACAGCGATGATCATCAACCTGAGATAAGGTGGTACTCAGTGCCAATCCAAGGATATCATGCCAGGCCAGTGGATAAATGTTTGGTTTTTATTTTTAACAATCCTCCTAGTATCAGCAGGCTGTACATTAATCCAAAAAGTTGCTAGAAAATGAGATTCAT